GGGACTTCCAGCAATGACCATGCACTTGCACGTGTGTATGTGTGTACGCGCGTTCGCGTGGGTGGGTGTATGTGCGTTCGTGTGTGTAATTCCCATTCAACAACAAGTTGCCTTCCATTAGGATTAAGTGGAATGTACATACATACATGTCTATGTGTTGAGTGCCCAATGTATGTCGAATGTGCATACATGTCCATGTGTTGAGTGCCCAATGTATGTTCGACACACGCTCTACTGATGCTTGTATCCATTCTCTTTTTTCCTCCGCCTCTGTCTTCGTCCAGGTCGGTTATGATATGACAAAGGCTGCTGCAGATCGTGTTTTCATGAAGGCCGGTATGTGCTGTCACTAGCAGTCAGTGATAGTTTAAGTGGGGACACATGTGAACTGTTTGCAGCACTCACATATTATACTGCCCGCCGTAATGCCAGCTCACTTACTGTTTTTGCGGAATTGTCAACTTTACACTTTGCCACCCATTACAGCTGTAGTGCTTATTGATTCAATGGAGTCTATCGATTGCTCTCGAATGGGACATAGTGCTGGCTAAGGTGCTGCATGTTAAGTGCAGCACCGTTTTTTTTGCAAATGAACACCAGCTATATCATATGTGCTGTGAGCCCCTGTCACTTGAGACCTGGCACAAGGGTAACGTGAATGCAGCGAATTGGACGTTTCCTGTAGGTTTTGACCAGTGGCTGGTGTGTGCGTGTGTGTGTGTGTGTGTGTGTGTGTGTGCGCGCGCGCGCACGCGCGTGTGTGTGTGCGTGTGTGTGTGCATGCATGCGTGTGTGATCTACTCATAGGTTGTCGTATCAACGATGTTGACGTGGTGGAGTTGCACGACTGTTTTTCTGCCAATGAGCTGATTACGTACGAAGCACTGGGCCTATGTCAACCAGGTGAGGTGCATCTAAGATGTGTGCGCTGGTACATCTACGAGTATCGCAGTGCTTCTTCTTTATGTACTTCAGTCATCACTGGCCCTGAATGTAAATTGTATTAGCTATGGAATATTGTGATTCTTGCCACCATTGCCCTCTTCTGCTGCTTAACTGCATTGCTTTATGGCGGTATTTGTGTTGTTCTGTTAGGCGAGGCTGGTGCTTTCATCGACCGCGGTGACAACACTTACGGTGGCAAGTATGTGGTCAACCCCAGCGGTGGTCTCATCTCCAAAGGCCACCCTCTCGGCGCTACTGGTACGTTGAGTTCTGCGCTGACCGTGCTCTTTGTTCTTGAGTTGGTGACACACACACACACACACACACACACACACACACACACACACACACACACACACACACACACACACACACACACACACACACACACACACACATGTTGTAACATGTACTATACCTGTGCCTGTTTTAGTTTAGCAATGGGGTCTATACACGCCACTAGGTGGGTGAATACACAGTTTGTATGTTTGTTGTTCGGTGTACAGTCTGGCTAATCCCATTCCCTCTGTTCTGTTCACTGCTTCTGCTGCTGCTGCTGCCGCCACGGCCATACTGGTGTCAATCCTTTCATCCATGTGCACCAGGACTCGCTCAGTGCTCAGAGCTGACCTGGCAGTTGCGTGGTGTCTGTGGCAAGCGACAGGTTTCCAACGCACAACTAGCACTGCAGCACAATGTCGGTCTTGGCGGTGCTGTCGTAGTCGCTCTCTATCGCCATGGCTTCCCAGCGTTCAAGGGACAGCGATCTGCAACGTCAGCAAGGTACCATGAGTAGGATCTATGTTACTTGTGTTTCTGAACTGCCTGTACTGTGTGACAGTCTTTTGCTCTCAGCTTACCAGCTATAATAGGGAACTTCAGCTAGAACATGACTTCCATGCTTTGCCCTGGTTGATATGAATGTGCATCATCATCATTATTTGTATGTGTGTGTGTGTCCGTATGGCACTTCCCGTGCAGGCCCAACTATGCTATCCAAAGCACTGCAGCAGCGAAGGATGTCTCGGAGTTCAAGGCAAAGCTTGTCTTCGATGAGCTGAAGAAGCGTCTTGATGCTGTATGTAGTGATCAATCTGATACTAGTAGTATGCTGATGCTGTGTCAGCGTGCGTATGTGCGTACTCATGTGTGTGTGTGTGTGTGTGTGTGTGTGTGTGTGTGTGTGTGTGTGTGTGTGTGTGTGTGTGTGTGTGTGTGTGCATGTCGATTATGGTCGCACACGTCTTTCTTCTCTTTCTCGGACTCTTCCTGACTTTTCTTTCATTCTCCTGGGTGGTTACCAACAGCCAGTGTATGCCGGAGTATGTGGTGTGGTGTGTGTGTAGAAAAAAATGAAAAATAGGGATTCACTGGCCAGAAAAAAAGTCACTTCAAACAGCTGTGTGGTGGATACCAGGCTAAATAAAGTGGCGGTCAATTCATCAGCCTTGCAAGCTGTTGAATGGTGTAATCCCAGCACAAGTTGCTATGTCTAACATAGCTGTTCGCTATCATCGCTTCCGCGATGGGCATGTCTGAGGTGTGAGGCATGTGCATGTGCATGTGCATGTGCTCTGCTAGAATAAAGCAGGCTACCGTAGACAGCTTCCTTAGAGTTCATTTTCTGTTGAAACTTGAAACTTGAAACTATTCAGGCCGACGTTTGATTCCGTATTTCTGTGCTCCTCTATATGGCAGCGAGTTGCTGTCCATGCATAGCCCTGGTACAAGTATTTGAATTTCTTGATGCACGTACTGCCACTAGCTCTGAGTGTGCTTCGGGTGATACTTGTGTGCTTTACAGGAGCCAGGTCTTGCCAAGAAAGTGAACGCAACGTTCTTGTTCAAGATCAGGAATGGTCCTGGTAATCAAGAAGCCAGCTGGTTTGCAGACTTGAAGTCATCTCCTCCAACAATCAGTGTCGGCGAAGGTACAGAACTGTCTGCCTGGTGGTGGTGCTGGTGTTGTTGCGCCCCCCCCCCCCCCCCGCATTGTATAACCTTGCTGGGTTGCTAACTTGCTATTCATGTTTCAGGGCATAGATTAACGGCCGGACATCTGACATTTTCCGGCCATTTTCGGCCACTGACTGGACGTTTTCAATTTCACCAGACATAGTGTCCGGTCAAAAAAGTAAAAAAAGAGCAGCGACCTTTCGACCTTTTTATGCAGAGTTGGGCTTTCTTCGGAGCTTCGTGCCAAATGCGACTTGCATATCGTACAACTAACACGTACACCGTAGTCTCAGGCGTAGACTTCACTATATTAGAGAGGTTTCGACCCGCGTGATTTGTGCTCTTACGTGAACGTCAATTTTTGCGTTGACGCGAGCTCAGAAAGAGCTTTCGTTTCACGTTGCTTGTGAAGCATGTTGTGTCGCTGACGACAGGAGCGAAAACTGGGAGCGAAAACTTCAAAAAGTGAAAAAAGTGATTTTTGGTGAGGCCAAAGTCGCACAAATATTATTTATAGCTAGTTTAGGCGAAATCGACAAAATCGAGTCAATAATCCCAACCTGATAGCAAGGCTAAATTTGCAAAAACTCGCGTTCACGTCGAACGTGAGTTGACCTCAGCTCATGTCATGAGCGGGAGTTTCGACGCCAAAATTGCTACACCGACGTGAAATTTCACGGTGTAGCACAGAACAACGTGAAACGAAACCTCTCTATTTACTTGATCCGCCTGTAGCAACGCGTTGTTGCTACAGTCAATTCACACACACACCCACGTCCGGGCATGTCCGGACAGATTTCTAAACGGAAGGACATTTGTCCGAGCTACTATGCCCTGATGTTTTGAACCCAGTTACGGGGGGGGGGGGGGGGGAGGAGGGGGGGGGGTAGCAGAAACGGTTTGGGCACTGAGCTAATAGTATGGCATAGTGCATCTGGACAGTGTGGAGAGTTGGAGGGTGGTGACTGAACTTTTCCGTTCCGTGAAAATTATCGATAATGCCGGATGTCTCCTGGACCCTTTTTTATGAAAGTAAGTACCAGTCAGTAGGCCAGTCTGTGTGCACGGTCCCAAAACTTGTGAGTGCACACGTTTGCTGGTGCCATTGTCACACAACAGGGCATTTTCAAAAGAAGTGCAAATCATAATGGGTACGCTGGGCACGGCACAGCCGGTACCGTATACGCGTAGTGGAAATCGGCCCTAACAGTTATCCTTTTGTGGCCGCTGCAATAGTAATGGTTTTGTGCCATCAGTTCACCATTTTCTCCATGTGCTGTTTTTTTCTGCAGGGAAGGCACAGTGCACTATAACCATGAAGGATGCAGACTTTCTGGACATGATGACCGGCAAACTGGACGGACAGCAGGTTAGATAAGATGCAGTGCGCCTGCATGGTGTGTTGGTGACATGTCTGTTTCTGCTATGACGTTGTCATACAGTTACACGGTCTTCCAGTAAATCCATGATGGCAAACATCAAGAACGCCCGTTCATGCCTGTGGTATAGCTCCGGGAATAAAATATAAACAACCGTCACCAGATGCGGAGCAAAGTCCTTTCGGATGCTGGTTGAGGGTGGTGTCAGTCAGTCGTGGTGGTCCTCAATTTCATTTTTGAGTGTTTTGTCCCTACAGTTGCAAATGTTGCACCTCGCCAGGTTTGGCACAAGGTTCCCTAAGGGGTCATCACAAAAGTTTATTTTTGTCCTCCCTGAAACGAACATTGATTGGGGAGGGGGGAATGGGACAAACCTCAAGTCTACCAACACCATACATGCACATCTACATGCATGCGATTTGTGCCTTCCAGCGTGGCAAGCTTCGTTCATTTCGGAGGGAGCCCGAGTACGAAATGAGCAACCTTAATTGTGATTGAGCTTTGTAAGAAAAATTGGCAGCCTCTGCACTGACACATTGGATATAGAATTATAGATAGACTTTTGTAAAGCAAGTTTGCAAAATGCATGGTGTGGCCGTCTTCTGCTGCCTGACCACAAGCTATTCGCTGGATCTCCACGAATGTTTTCCAACTGTTACTGCCATCATTCCCACTACAACAACTCCATGAAGATGAGCTGTTCGCATCAAGTTATTTGTCATACTCTGAAGCGGGGAGTAGTAAAATCGTATTTTCGTATTTTTTTACTGCTCTTTGCTCTGAAGTGTACTTTTCCGAGAGTAGTCAATGGAAAGGGAATCCTTGCCAGCCTGCGTAATGTTGTGTTGTTCCACTTATGCTTGTTCTTGCACATCCAGGCGTTTTTCAAAGGAAAACTGAAGATCAGCGGCAATATGATGTTGGCAAATAAGTTGAAAGACCTTCAGCCTAGGGGTGGAAAATCAAAACTGTAAAACTCCATTCGCATTGCAGCATGCGGTCTCCCTCAAGAATTCATCATCTCATCAAAAGTTCCAGTAAATCGCAGTCTATCTCTTCTCCTATTTTCCTGTCTGCGTCGGACGATGACGGATACCTCGCTACTACGTTATGTAGCCGACTGCAGTCCATGTGTGTCCAGTTGATCATTTTGGATTTGGTTCACAGGCCGGGTTTAGAGTGCTGCAAGCTTCTTGTGCACTCCTGGATCCTGGTTAGGCATTGCGCAACTATAGCTGCATGCCTGTGTCATGCTCTCGTTCCCGTAGAAAACTTTCTAATTTGCAAAATTCTATATACCCCAATACTATTTACACTATTTAGAGTTCATAGGATCATGTCTTCAACCATTTTTTGCTTACATGTATTTCACTGTACTGGCCACGCTTCGAGAACAAAATTTCAACGGACCTTTCTATTACAATGTACATTCCGATTTGCACTACACAGAGTTATGACCAGGGAATTGGTCATTCCCGGTCGTCATGGTCACGGCCTGGTTACCTTTCCATAGCTGTATCCAGGGACCCTGGAGTTCTCACACTACTTATAGGAAGGCTTTTTTGTAGTACTCCCTGCATAGGCCTGGCTGTGACCATGAGTAAACGACTACAACGTAGTACAGACAAGAGTACACGGGGGGGGGGGGGGTTATGTACTCTTGACAGCACCCATAGTGGAGTTGCACACTCTGGGGGGTTATGTACTCTTGGTACAGACTACAGTGCTGCTCAATGAAATAAAAATTCAGTCGTGTCACTCAAGTACGTGCCGTGCCGGGCGTTGCACAGTCCAGGACCTGCGAACACTGGGCTGTGAAATGGTGCATGGTGCGAGCTTGAGTGACGCGACTGGATTTCATTGAGCAGGACTGACTGTATGTGTCATCATGTAACAGCTCCCAAGAGTGTGCCACTCTGAATACTATAGTCTGTTTCAAAAAGATTAGCAATCAGGTTTTGGTCTTAAAAAGTATGAAGATAAGGGAAAATTGGACAACGAAGTACATAAAAGGGCTGGTTAGGGCACGGCAAATTGTTCTGTGAAGGTTTCGGAACAATTGGACAAGCCGTTAAGGAGTTAGAATTTCGGCCAGGTTTCCGGCCTTTTCCCATGGTTTGCAATTTGCCCTGGAAGCCAGTATCGATTTTTCTATCAAAACCCACGATTTATCTTTTCCTTTCTGGCCTTGTGGTTATGGATGCTGTCTGCTGACCATGAAGTTGTGAGTTCAAACCCCAACCTATCTTCAACTCACACTTTTTTTCATTGTTTTTTGGTGATCAAGCAGACTTGTTGTTCACGATTGTTGTTGTTGGAGCTCCCGCTTCCTCCCGAACTGACTGACACTTGACTGGCTCACGCCATGTGAACACACCCACAACACTGAAACGGTGTGAGTGAATACGGAAGTCATTGCGCTGTAGCTACGTGTTGAATACACCGGCACATCGATCGATCGATTTCTTTTTGAGAATTATTTTAGTATTTCAAGATCGCCAATTTATTTGAATTTAGAAGTCAACGCCGTCTTCTATCAACTTCCACAGGTGTCTGCTTTTCTCAAAATGTTGTCGAAGTCATACGGATAGCTTCGCCAAGTCATGGCCTTGGGAATGAGTCTGTGTCGATGTCGTTTTCGTCACATGGTGAGAGTAAATTGCATCGCAGCTCAAAGAAACTATTTTGGTCACAAAACATATTCGGACCCATGCCGCTCGTCAGCCTGACGTGACATCGACCTGAGTGAGTTGTCATTTTTCATGCTTTCGCGCGGAATATTTCTTCGAGTTGACAGTGAGTTTTATCAGGCAGCGCTCGAGCGCTCATACGGTAAGACGGCAAACTCCCCGGGCGATCACCAGGATTGCTAATCTTTTTGAAACTGACTGTAGTGGTGGATACGCTTGCCTTTGGGTCTGCCGATGGCAATTTGTTTCGGCGAACCGCCGAGTAGTGAAAATAGCATTCCCTGACTGACAGAAACCCACTAAGCTCATGTGCATGTGAGTGCATGATCATGGCTTGCGATGCGAGTTTTCGCCGTCGGAGACAACCTGCAGAGTTCCAAACTCTTGTGAGCGGTAGCTGGCGATACCCTTATTGTGACCGGCCGTTATTACAGACACCAGGCCAGGAAGACCAGCACACAGCTGGCGACTCCCTTATCGTGACCAATCGAATCGGCAACAGGCCAGGAAAACCAGCACACAGGGCAGTGTGTATGTTGTGGCGTTGGGCACATAATATTTATGTAGCAACATGCGGATCAATTCCCGACAATTGCATTCTGTGCATTGTATCGGTCATACCTGTATTTGCCAGATAAAAGCAATACTGCTCAATCCTTCCAAATTAAAAATAAATCATCTCTTACAATGATACACGGCTAAAGCTCTGCTCTGTTCGGTGAAAGCTAGCAGCTACACGCTTAATTTAGAAATACTACACAATACCGTAAAAAGGGAAAGGAGACACCGACCAATACGGTAAACACGACCAAGACTTGCAAAAAAAAAACACACGAAAACATACCAAAACACGACCAGACACCTTAAAAAGATAAAACAGACAGGTTAAAAAGAACAAAAAAGGAAGAAAAAGGAAAGTATTGTTTTATTTTCTTCAAGTTACATAATATGCTTTTTATGATATATGTTGGTTAGAAATCACTAAAAATGAAAAAAAGACCTATTGTTTCTATGCTTGTACAGACTGACCATTGTCTGGTCCTGCCGCTAGTGGGAGACCAGAGGGGGTATGCATAGGCTGCATCGATGGGAGAATGTGATGGTCCTGCTTGGGAAGCATATGCATGCCGTTTGAACCACCGACACCGTTGACGTTGTGCGGCAGAATCATCGTTGACATCACATCGGGATGCGTCACATGCTTATTAGCAAGTTCAGCTTGCAACCTAGAAACGCAGTGCAATCAATCGCATGCATGCAGGTGTACACACACACATGTACACACACACAAGGACACAAGACAACACAACAAAAGAGAACAAACATGGCACAAGCTAAAGAACTTTTACGTATGGGCGGTCCGCGGCGCTGCACATGAGGGGCCCAAAGTTAGTAGAGAACTGGTGGAGAGCAATTTATGCACGGTGTATACGAAAACAGTGAATCGTGGGCACCACGGGCTTTTGCGGCAGCACTCTCACTCAGCCGAAGCTAAACCTGGGGAGCCCCTCTGCCTCCACATGGGTGTTGCAAAACTCACCGACTATTGCACCAGTAATAGCACAGCAGTTTATGTGCTTGCTCGATTCAGTGGAGTTCAAGGGCGATCCCTGAACCTGAATTGTGCACGCAGTCTTCCGCACAGCATGTTAACAGTTCTACACAGAAAGCACTTTCAAGTATGGTAACGAAGGTAGAACACTCTGCAGCTGGCCCATAGAAAAGAGATCAGCTGATCTTTTCAAGAACATGGATTCTTGCTAGCATGTATGTATGTATGTATGTATGTATGTATGTATGTATGTATGTATGTATGTATGTATGTATAACTCATAATCACAAGGTGATCGTAGAGGCAATAAAATCAGCGAGAGAATTGTGAATGATGTCTCTGTGCTGCATGAGAGAGAGCATATACGAGAATTGTGAATGATGTCTATGTGCTGCATGAGAGAGAGCATATACAAAGCCAAACAAGCAACCAAAGAGCAGCATGGGAAAATCACAGGAATTTGACAAAGAAGTTACACTGGGCAGGGAGAGAGAGAGAGGCAGAGAGAGAGGGGGAGAGAGAGAGAGGGGGAGAGAGAGGGAGAGAGAGAGAGAGAGAGAGAGAGAGAGAGAGAGGGGGGGGGGGGGGGAGAGGGAGAGAGAGAGAGAGAGAGAGAGAGAGAGAAAGAGAGAGAGAGAGGCACATGACTGTAGGGAGAAGACGTTTCAACCCTACCGTGCGGAGATAAGGTGTTGTGCGGCGGTCACACACTCTGTTGTGCCAGTCACAGTGATACGACGATCAGGACAGTTGGCAACAATGTTGCCAATCTTAATTGATGCTCCAGATTGCCGTCTGCACACACAACACAATGAACACATGCATACAGGCATACAGGTATCTGTTGTAACAGAACACGGTTCCCACCCCTCATGGCTTCCTTTGTGCATGGCATGGAAAACAGGCACATCAGCAGAGAAAGGCAAGTGCTGGTGCAACTGTGAGAAGAGCTAGATGCACATGTAGTCTTCATGGAGTCCGGCATACATTGTTACCACCGATGGGAATATTCTTTATTCCTGTCCATATAAAATGCACCGTTTTCGAGAACTCCGGGAACAAGATAAAACTACTATCTAATTAATGCGATACAAACAGTCAAATTCAGTCAGCCCCACGCACCATTCTCTTTTCAGTATATCACTGACCTGATTTCGGATATCTTGTGTCCACCGCGACCAATGACACAGCCGACCAGCTACAAGAGGACAAAATGCATGTACAGACAGAGTTGTAGGCGACACAGCAACGCATAAAAGCCGGGCTCGATCGATATATCAACTTGTGTTGGAAATAGATCCGTCAGCAGCTCGCAAGATGGATCCAAGAGTGACTCGCAACTTCATAGCCTAGTCTGATCCATTCGCCCCTTGGCTGCCACCCACAGTCAAGAGAAGGAGAACAAACACAGGACGTTCCAAACACCCATAGGTTTGAGTGCAGACAACTAATACTTACCTCATTTGGTATACACATGTCAAAATTGGTGGGATGACCGGCTGTTGTCATCGGACCTGCAGAGTTGTAAAGAAGCGGGTCTGCGCTGACTGAAATATCACAAGACGACATTCACAGCAATGCACCAGGGAAGAAGAAGGTACAGTATTAACACATGCCAGAGCGATACACAAATAGAAAAAAGTTCCACAGCTACAAGCTACAGTTCAAAGTATTTTCAGTATTTTCTTTCCCAACTGGCCTGAACGAAGGGTTAGTGGTGTCCGCATACGTGACCTTGTGCAATGTACAATGCACACCTAAATGTACAGGGAATCCATGATGACTAGACTGACAGCAATGCAATTGGGGCTGAAAATTCAAAACGTCACGGGGCATGCTTCATGCCTCGCGCCAACGTTGAACACTGCAACGACTGCCGCGTGTTGTATGATACGGAGTGTTCGCTTTACAGCTCGCCTCAGCCTTCCCGAGAAGTTTTATAGTACCTTTGTACTGCACTTGTACTCGGCCATATGGGCGTGACCTCGAACGAACACCAAGACTCACAAGGACTGGGAGCTGGACCAGCCGATGCATCCCAGGGCCACTTTGGCTCATGTGAACCAACCCCGTACCAAATAAGGTGCAACCCCACTAAAGAGGCGTGTGCATCTGGCTACAATGCAGCATACAAACTAAGATAATGTACGCATCAGCCACTTTCTGCTTACACATGCAGTCTTACTGTATTGCACGGACAGCATTGTACTCAAAATTGCCGATACAGTCAAAACTGCTTGCAACGTACACAGTGTACTAAGTGATGTTATGTTACCTTTATTTTACTTCACCATAGGTACAAGTAAATAAGACTACCCACTACTGTGTAGAGGGTACTATTTTCAATTGACAAAATCTCTGCACGTGGTCGAAGTATTACGCTTACAGCATACTTTGCGTAGTACAATAGTCATAGTATATACTCGTACATACTACGTACTCAAGACACCTATCCTAACACAGCCATGCCACATGCTAACGACACAAAGTGCAGCGGGAACTCACCATAATCGCTAGCCAAAGGCTTCATCTGTAAAACAGGTGGCTGTGGAAGAACACAAAAAAAAGACAAAACAAATAACGACTATGAGCAGGTAACACATCAACCCTGATATGATGCATGCTGCATTTCCAACTGGCCATTATCAAGCCGGTAATTGATTGTGCTTTTAACATGCCAGCCAGGAGCCAGTGTAAGCATATGCGCAATGTATCCGACTAAAGGCCGATTCATAATACAACTTTCTGCGACGCGACACGCGATTTGCGACAAGAAACGGGCTGTCGCGTATAGTCGCAAGGCACCTGTCTCAAATGTTGAAGAAAGTTCAACGTTTGCGACATGCGACATACACAAATGGAGTACAGTTCGACCCTGGGTGCATGTGCAGTGCATAGTACTACTAGTGCATGAGAACGTCGCAAACACGAAAAAGATTGTGAACCGTAAGCCGCTGTCGCAGCTCGTCGCAGGTGTTGCATGTCGCGCCGCAAGAAGTTGAATTGTGAATCGGCCTGCGTGTGTTCATCAAGGCAAGAATAAAGACGTCAGCACATGCTGCATTGCCACACTTCAAACGACAGTCCTACCTGAACTCCCAGTGCAAATGGGTCATTTAGTGTAAACGTGGGTGGAAATCCTAAAAAGGGTGGTGTGGCAGCCGGTACGCTGTTAGTCTGACGTGGCCGGTAAGGAATTGTTGGACCACGAACTGGATTCTGAGCACAAAAAAAAGAAGAAGAAGATTGAATGCAACTAAATCACAAATCATTTCCAGGAAGTGAAAGAACTTTTAACCCTTTAAGTGCCATAAGTGGTTGACAAGATTTTCCTGTCAAGTGCCACGATCAGCTGAGCAGGAGTACTTTCTGAATGCCACGGTCAGCTGGTTCTCACCCTTCCCTCAGTGCCACGCAGATTTTTGCAATTGTGCTATTTTACAGTTATAAACTTCAGGATGGCAAGTGATGGTGATATATTGCTACTACTCAAAGATAATGTATACATGATATGTTCAGAATATCATCAGCAACATGTTTCAGAGCTCAGCATGCAGAAAAATAGTAATGCCAATGAATGCAGCAGTGTCAAAGTGAAAATAAGCCAGCAAGACGGAAATGCGCACATACAAACTTAGTTTGCAGCAGCGGTACAACGTAGCAAAAACTGCTTGTGGTATGGAGATAGTTGCTAAATTTCACAGCAGTAGCGCAAGGTTATGCACTAGTCCGCGTACCGTACTCTGTAGTCGTGCAGGGTGTGAAAGCGCTGGAAGCATTCACCGGGACACATCATGCGTACGCACTGCACGCACTGCCAGCTAGTTTGCTTCCGGTGGTCCGGTCGTCTGCTGCACACAACGCAGTCTCGCTTCCCTTCAACAGCTAGCTGCGTACGAAAGTGTCGCTCAGTTAGCCGAGCTGTGTCCACATCGTCAGTAGTTGCTGGTACAGATCTGCGACGTGGTTCACCAATCGGCCACTGTGTTTCAGTGAACAGGGAAGCGATGAGCGCCTTGTGGAATTCCTTTCCGTCAAGGTCTTTGCCTGTCATTGCGTTGTAGATTATTTTTGCGTTGTGCACCGAAATTTCCAGCAGCTGATGGAAAAGGATCAGGTACCAACGGCGGTGACGATGCGGGAATGCGTAGTAGCTCAGCATCTGATCCGCCTCGTCCACGCCGCCCATCAAACTGTTGTAGCTGGCGATGCATGATGGCTTTTTCACGGACCGAACTCCTTGAGGCGCACGCCGGTCGCGAATATCTACATCGACAACTTCACAAGAGTGAATCGTCGAGAGAACTGTCACTTGCTTCTTGTCCGGCCAGGAGCATGTGAGAACTGTTTCATCTCTCCAGAATCTCGGCGGCGTGCCCTTCTTTTTCTTGTCCTTACATGCTGGTGGAAGCCCTTTCCGATTGACTCTCACTGTGCCGACAGCTCCCATTCCACGGCGCGACGACAGCCACTGAAATAAGGTAGGTGACGAATAATAATTGTCCATGTACACTACGTGCCCTTGGCCGAGGTGTCGAACCAATTTCGCCACTATCTGACTGCCCTTCGATGTGTCGGCCATGGCTACGTCTCGGCCCTCGGCCATATCCTTGCCGGTGTACAGAGTCCACTCGTATATGTATCCCGTACCCGGCTCCGCAAGGACGAATGCTTTCACGCCCCACTTGGTCGGTTTGGCCGGCATATATTGTTTGAATGATAGGCGACCCTTGTACGCAATCATTTGCTCATCCACAGACACATCCCTCTTAGGGTAGTAGGACAGTCTGAAGCGCTTGACGATTATGTCCAGGAATTTACGAATCTTGGCGAGAGGGTCTCGATACCTGCCGTGCTCGTCATACTCGATGGTTGTGTTATCCACGAAATGAAGGCACGACAGGATCAGTTGGAAACGATTCCTGGACATAACCTTGGCAAATCCGGGTGTCTGGTAGAGCCTGTCCGTCGTCCAATGGTCTGCCAGCGCTGGTTGCTCCACGATGCTCATGGCGAGCAAGAGTACGAAAAACACTTTCATCTCGCGTGACGAGATGTCATGCCACTTGCGCATCCGGGAGCTTGGAAAGTGAGCGCCGAGGGCTTCCAGTTTTCGCTGCGCATACAGATTTGTTTGCGTGACGGCTATGTCCACGGCTTCATCCGTGAACATCATAGCGAAACAGTCTGCCGGAGATGTTTTCATCGGCCTGTGCCGTTCGCCCACGTTGGCGAGTTACTCCCGGCAGCCATGCACTCGCATCCGCGGTGTCGTTGTCAGCCGTGACGGTCCGCCAGTTCCACACTCGCGGTTGTTCTTCGTCGTCTTCGTCGCTTCCTTGAAGGTCGCTATCGTCATCTTCGCTACTGCCGACATCGAAGCCTTCGAACTCAGACTCATCAGACTCACCGTCAAAGATTCTGTGGATTTCACCGTCAACTTCCTCCTGTGTCATCTCTACCTCTCGCGCTGCGCCTTGAGTCGCCATTGTCACTCGAAAGTGTTTGAGTTTTGAACGAGCGTTTCTCGCTTTTTATAGATACGAACACCCGGTTTTTTCTATTGAACTAGATACCTCCACCCACGGATAACGCCAGGTCAAAAGCGTGGGACGGAGCTACAGACCTCTGGTACTGTAGGACACGTCCAAAAATACCCCTCCGTCGGGCTCTTCATAGAGCCTTGGCATTCCCACACAGAAGTGTGTCGGACTCTCTACGTCGCCCGTGGCACTGTAAACTAGAAGTACACAGGGCTCATTTCGGCAGCCGTGGCACTTGACAGGTGACAAGCCAGGGGCTCTTTTCGTCGACCGTGGCACTTAGAGGGTTAAATCAGGGTCTATAAATGTAGGACAGGTTGCAGAAAACCAGTTCAACGAACGACAGGTCAGCCTCACAGAATGACACAACTGTACTTCGAACAGTTGCCAGTAGGATGTTTCACAGAACCATGCCTCACGGAGAAGACAGTTCACTGAGACCATGTTCGCAGACAGGTTCCCTGTGTCTTCGACCGAATAATCAGTTCACTGAATATAACCGCAGCAAGTGGAAAGTCACACACATCAAACTTGATAATATTGCTGAACCTGAACCAAGTCCAACAGTATGCATAAAGAATGCAAGGTATTGTAGATGTTCATGGCAAGTGCTGGTATCACTTAACCCTTTATGTACTGATTTCCAGCGCAGAATGAAGCAGAATTTGAATTTTCAGCACAATTTTCACCTTCAACAGGCTATAACCAAGAGTACATAACCCCCCAGAGTGTGCAACTCCACTATGGGTGCTGTCCCGACAGAATTTCAAGTTGACGTCATTTTGATGATGCAATGCGCACTGTACACGGATTATCAGACGAATCCGGAACCTGTGGTTGACCGAAGCCGATCGATCCTGTACAAATTATTTCAAAGAAAAACGTGTGATGCGTTGACACCCGCACACATGTTGTAAATCACTGCTGCAAGGAGCATTGCGTCATAAATAATGACGTCAACTTGAAATTCTGTCGGGACAACAGGGTACGTCGGAGTTGCACACTCTGGGGGGTTATGTACTCTTGCTATAACTTTGGCCTCCTTTGCTCCATTTCCACAATCTTGGGCTCTTTGGAAAGCTCCTGGCGAGAGCAACGCCAAGATACCAGGCTCCATCAACTAGCTGCCACAAATCAGGCGCAATAACACATCAAAGTCGTCTCCAAGCCCAATATGCGAGCAAATTTCCCCATCAACGCCATTCCACTCTCCTCTATCGCAGAACGCTCAAATCTTTTCGAGGCGATTCAAACTTCAGCCAACTACGTCATTATCATGTGCTGAGTTGGTCAAAGAGCACACGAAAAGGGATTTCCCCTAAAATGGCGAAGAGATCGATAAAAATTTGAATTTGCTGAGACAAGACTACGGCGCGCGATATCTCTGGATTCATACATCGTAGCTCTTCGGCGATTGTTGCATTGGAAAGCTTAGAGTTACCGCTACCGAATAGACCCTTCGATTGTTGAATTCGGGCAAGAAATGATGGAGTTACGAAGGTTTTACGGATCGATCATGAATCGATCATATGTGATCGATTCGTGTACACACCGTACATAAAGGGTTAAAGGGGAGGTTAAGGCTAAAATCAAAATTTCACCAGTTGTAGTCTTCGGGGTGCTGAGTCGAATGGTCGTGGTCCGAGGAAGCTGAGACGCTCCCTTCCTACTTGAATCCCAATCGAACTCGCGCACTTCCACCGAAACTGGGTGACTGCGCCATACTGGATTTGTATGCAAAATGTCACTAAAAGCGCCATTTCGTTCTTGGATGACCGCGATTGGCCCATATGTTGTAGTCTTTTGGACGCCGAGTCGATTGGTTTTGGTCCGAAAAGGCTGCGATGCAGCGTTCCCCTTCATTCCCAACCGAACATGGTTGAACAAGCGGTCACGTGCTCCTGCGTACACCAGTCACCTGGTCACCGTGCCTGCAAGGTACAACTTACTAGCCTGTTTGACCTTTTTTGGGTGCAGTCCTGTCACTCGAGTTGAACTCGAGTTGAACCTTGGTGTGAAAGTTGTCGCCTGCTGGCGTGGTGACCAAGTGATTTGGGCACCCAGGAGCACGTGACCGCTTGTTCAACCATGTTCGATTGGGAATAAAGGAGGAACGCTGCATCGCAGCCTTTTCGGACCAAAACCAGTCGACTCAGCGTCCAAAAGACAACAACATATGGGCCAATCGTGGTCATCCGTGCTTTTATAAGAACGAAAAGGCGCTTTTAGTGAGATTTTGCATACAAATCCCCATCTAGTAGGGCGCAGTCACCCAGTTTCGGTGGAAGTGCGCGAGTTCGATTGGGATTCAAGTAGGAAGGGAGCGTCTCAGCTTTCTCGGACCAAGACCATTCGACTCAGCACCCCGAAGACTACAACTGGTGAAATTTTGATTTTAGCCTTAACTTCCCCTTTAACCTTCAAGGCTGGACAAATAAGGCCACATCTAAGCACAAAGCCCCTCGGGAACTCCGTTTTGGTTTAGTTCGGGTATGAGGTTGCATGGCGGTCTGTCGACTTGCATAAAGCACTGTCGCCGCTCGGATCCATCATTGCCGGGATCTGGATCTGGATCTTTCGTAACTCCTTCATTAAACTGTCGATCCAAGTCGAGATTTTTCGGATTGTGACAGGTAAGTATCGAAGCACAGCGACATTGCCAAGATTCTTGATGCTTTGTTTGTGCAGATTGTATTCCAGCTGCTGCTGTACTAAGAGTCATGTACCTCCAGTCATTTAGAAACCGGGGTGTTAGTCTATCACCACTAGCTCTCACTGCCCTCCGCGTTCCCATGTACATGTAGGTTTCAAACTACTACAGGTCTGATCTGTACTCAATCTGCGGAGAGAACTGTTTCGTCCGTTGTGGATTCGTCAGCGCAGCACAGAGAAAATGAGGCCAGACGCGTCTGATCTACACTGTGATTTTCGTGATGGGGTCAACACGGTATATCCTGTGAATTGACTTTCGATGCGATGCTTCATTGTGAACTTGATTTCGGCAAAACAGGGCTTCTGTGATTCTGTCCTTGGGTGTAGGATGTACGTCATACTGTGATTAATCTTTCGATGACATGTCGTTCTATGAAGTACTTCTCCATGAACAGTCAGCATTCTTTAGGATATAGGGATTCGAAGGGAACTTACTTCGAGCATGACACACGCAATGCGATATAGACATTGAGAGAGTGCATCCGAAGTACCTGTGCACCAAAAAAGAAAAGAAGACACAATGACGGTGGCAACAAGAGCAATTGATAAAAGAAAGAGATCAGATCACGATACAATAACACCTCAGAGACAAGTTGCTACCCTTCGCCCATTCTTGTGCATGTTGTTTCGGGTGTACATTACTGTCGGTTGCCGAAGAACTGGGGGGGGGGGGGGTCAGCCTCCTAGCCTAGGCCGTTCCTCTTTTCATGTATTACAGTCTATGCGCAGTTCAGTCACTGTGTATACATTGGTATGCTGTGCTTAGTGAAATTCTAGCCTGGTCGTTCTTCGGCGCCCGGCCGTACTGTAGGCGCATGTTTCCGGTGAATAGCATTTGTGTAGCTATTGCATAGTGCATGTGCCAATTCAGCACAACATAGATAATCAATGACTCCATCAATAACAGTTTAATACAAACATCATGGCACATTCTGCCAAGCTAGGACAACGAAATACCGTATAGGCGCGAATAGTAGCCCCGGGGCTCTATTTTTCCAGAAGACACATCGAGGGGGTTATATTTGAGAGAGGACTTTATTCGAGAGGGGGCTTTACTTTTTTAATTGTTTCACACTCTTCATGTTGATCAGTACATGCAGTGACTACACTCGATCGTTGTACGGTAAAGTACCCGTAACTGCACTGCATAGTATGGACATTGTGCACTTGATTGTAGCCCCGGGCTTTTATACGAGACCGGGCTTTATTATTCCGATTCCCTCTGACACACGGGCTCTATTTGAGAGGGGGTTCTATTCGAAGGTGGGCTTGTACTCGAGCGCGTACGGTAGTCAAGCACTACTGAGAAAGTGTTCCATTCAAACCGAAAATGGCAATGACAGCACAAAAATTACCAGAAATAGTGACTGCACGCTCTGTCGAATTTGGCAGTAGCTCTCCGGCAACTTGAACAGTCGTTCCGGTGGCCTGTAAACATCAGCCAGGGAAAGATGAAGCAATAATTTACAATGGCACACAACGATTCTACATTCAACAATTACCGTAGGCATCTTCACACTACACTTTACAGCTCACCAAGGCAACACCAATCGCAGGTCCTCGCAGTTAGTCATTAACTGAGCGAGTTGAAAAGGGAAATGCAGCTAATCGCATTTGGCAGTAACTCTCACCTCGCGCAGCTCCTTGATCTTGGATCCAGATTTGCCAATCAGGGGCCCGCATTGGCTGGCAGGAATTAATAGACGTAATGAAACTGGGGGTTGCTGGCCACTGCTACTAGTGGACTGACGGAACCCCTGCAATTCACAACAAGTGTATTCACAGTTAGAACTCCTCACAGGTATGAGGCTATTTTACCCTTTACTTCAGGTAAAGCACACAGCTTGCTCTGCAGTAGTCAGTCAACACGGGAAACCTCGAGCGCGGGCCAATACTACAGGATGTCTGTACACATCGACTTGGCCAAGCCAGCACTACAACATGTGGCAGCCACCGCAGGACTGCAGCGCATGTTAGCTCGGCAAGTCTGTGGAAGGGGGGGGGGGGGGACACCAGTGAGGGCTTCAATCAATAGATCGCTACTAACTACAGCCATGCGCAATAAAATCCTGCCTGATCAATAAGTCAGCGTTACCCCACACCAATGCATAGTCCAGTGTTCACAGGTCCACAGATCTTGCACAGCGCCAGGCGCTGCGCGACTCACACAGTCGGTTTCAGTGAGCAGCGCTTTAGAAAGGTTCTGGGGATCAGGAGCAACACAATTGCACAATGACATCATTGTTCTCAAGTATACATGTATTCACAACACCATACCTCTTCAACCTTCTTGCAGATCATACTAAAAGCCGCAAAGATGGCATCAGTTGTTCCAGTTAAGGTAACAATGCGTTCAGTTCCGCCATCGGTAATATTAATATGTGCATGGCTCTCATTACGGAATTTGGAAATAGTTGCGCCACCCTTGCCGATAATACTACCAACATCGCGGCTTTGCATTAGAAGTCGAATGGTGAGTTGGACAGATGAAGCAGGAATTCCAGAGTGTGGAAACATGACGTTGCCATCTGTGGGTCCATTTGTAGCCATACCTGCAGTCTGGGGGTTTTCCTGGGCCATCTACCAACATACAGAATGCATGCATGCATAGGGGCAAAATATTCAAAACAAAATGCTATTTTTCGGAATAACAGCAATCAAAAAAACGTGTACGCAAGTTGACAAACACGAATTCGATGAACAACGATCTCCCTTACTCATCAACAAATTCGAGCAAGTGACTAGCTACTTTGTTCCGATATATCGCCTACTCAAGCCATACATGCAGAGAACAGTCCCCAGCATAACTTGCATCCTGGGCAACATAGGACGAGTTGGTCCACTATCATCCTCCATGGACAAAATCACCGTACAATCGAATCACCCTTGCCCTGTACGGATATAATTCTATAATTATAGGACATTAGAAATAAATTGTCAAACAATGAGATTGTCTTCTAAATTGTCGAATTTGGAAGCAAGGTGCTACAGTAATACCACGCAGCAATTGAGGACTCACCTGATAGGATCACAGCGGGAAAGGGAAAGGGGATAACAGGAGGGGAGTTACGGAGACCTAGACCGGGTCCTGCTTGCAGAAAGCAGAGCAAGAAAAACGCGCATGCGTTTTTTGTAAAGAACTAAACAAATGAACAATCTGTGCACCCTTTGGCCTTCGCCGCTTCGGAGCCACGTGGCTGACGAAAGCTAGCTTGACCTTGATCAAAGCACTTCGGCCATGCATATGCGCATGGCGATGCAGCGCCGGCTACTCGTGTACCAGAGTACGGTCGAGTACGCTGATGCAACGCGTCACCACGCTCTAGTCTAGATGTACACACCGCATGTGTGTTGATGTGCAAGAGTGCAGTATGCAGCATGGCCCACGGCCCCTTGCACATGTTGCATTTCCTACTATCCTAGACTCTACGAAGTCCACGAAGTACGAAGTGGCAGGCCCCCATTTCACGCTGGCCATGGCACTGTCTGTGGCAGCTAGCTCCGCTCGTATACACAGCGGGGTACGTACAGTAGTCTCCTGCCTACGTAGCAAGCCTACGATTTGAAGAGTCGAAGAGGAGCTCCGGATATAATGCAATGCCAACACTCAGCCAAGTCCAACACCATGAACACTCTAACTCCAAGAATCCGCAGACGCTGACAGTTCTCTGGCCCTGGCTTTCTTGTACAATGGCATGCAGCTCGCATAATAATGGTCGAGCCTCGGTTTGACAAGCTGAATACAATCATGTAGCGTCTTGTGCCACAAGACACGAAGGTAGGACGCCACAAGTGCGTCCTACCAAGAGTTTATGTACTCTTGGTCCTACCCAACCAGGTTTCGTCAGATCATGGCCATGTTTGCGGTGTGCGTACACGCAGAATCTACGAGAACAGGGCTACCATCAGGGAGTCGTAAATACGACTCCCTGGCTACCATACAGCATGCTAGCATAGTCGTGATGTCGAGGAGAGATCGAGAGGATCGGGGGTGGGGGTAGTGGGGGCTGGAGGAGAGGATGTAGCCTTTGAGTTTGTGTTTGGTTTGAGGTTAGCTACATGTACATGTATAATGTTGTAATCAGGGAGTGGAAAAAACCCAATACCAGGAGTATTTGATCAACAGCACATAACCTCAACATGTAAACCAGAGTCACACACAGAGTATGTGACTCTAAGAATTCACCCGTCCAGGAAACTCCCCCGGGCCGCGGGCCCGGCTAGGAAGGACAAGAGTTCATTGTGGGAGAATCCGGCACTCACCCTTGCCTCATGCATCTCAGACCGTTGCACTTTGTTATTTTATCGTATCTTCAAACGACCCACGTGCCCTTTGCTAGGTTACGACCAATCAGCAGCCTCGGAGAGCGGGCTTTGATATTCCATCAAAGCCCGCTGTCATTGACAACCTGTACGAGAAAACCATCAAAGCCCGCTGCCATTGGCAACTGTACGACAAAACCATCAAAGCCCTGATCATGCCCAATCTCAGTCTTTTCAAGGTGATCTGGCTATAAGAACAAGAAACCGATAGGGGTGGTGGTCGGGGATGCGGTGGCTCTCAACTTGTGGAGTTGGAAATCTAGCTCCAGCACCGCAGAACTCTCAGCAGTATGCAGCGTGAGCAAGGCGTGTACGGTCGAAGTGAAAATACTTCCGTGACTCTTCTCTTGACACGTAGTCCTGAGAAATTTCTCACGAAACCGGTTTTTCGTCCACTGACATTACTTTCCCTTTGCTGTAATCTCTGTGTGAAACTTACGAACGGGACGAAAACGACATGCACTTTAGACTTCAGGCTGCTCTACGAAAGGCCGACATTGTCCACACTCGAGATCACCCAAAGAATGAAGCGAGTTTGATTCAAAATCAAAAAAAATGTTGGGGATCGTCTGAAGCATATTCAAGCGAGGTACAGTCGGGCTTGATGACTGATCAAAGCCCTCGGGCCCAGCCCTTGGGCCTACGGCCCTCGGGCTGGACCCTTGGGCTTTGATCAGCCATCAAGCCCTCTGTACCTCGCTTGATTATCTACTTCAGACATGGCACGTGCTTGTTGCCAGGCCACAGCCAATGAGCGGCCAGAATAAGCGGGCAAGATCAGTAGATCTTGCCCGCTTATTCTGTACGCGATACGGTACAACTGCTGTTCTTGCCCGCATATCCGGGCAAGAACAGCAGTCATACAGCACCGCGCCGCACATGCGTACTTACCATTTTTCGAAGTCCTTGCCTTGGTCAACATCTCCGACGAGTTCTTCAAAATTTGTCTCGCTTCTCCAAAATTACTCACTACTGTCTTGAACATCTTGAACGTCTGTAGGGAGGCCAGAAACGCCATCCAACCTTGCAGCTGGGCATGTTGCTCGGCGAAACGCACGTAAGGGAAGCAGACCTCAACAAGTGTAGCTTCTCAGCACTAGCATTCGAACCTTACTCTGACAATCATCAATCTTACTCGGAGAACGGGTTTATTCAACCAATCATATTACTGGTACTACTAACGTTACTACTGCCTTCACTGTACTTGAATACGTTCATCTCAAAAGTGGAAAGTCCTGACCAAACAAATATGTTTGTGATGGACATTACACACAATGTGACATTGCGGCATTTTGCCATTGCCAAGGCTTTTTTTCTCTTTGAACATCTCCATATATGTGGGCCTTGTCTGAACCACAATCCTACACAGTTGCATCGGGCATGACGCTCTGATCAGGCCCTCGGTCATGTGAGTGATCTTGCCCGCGGTCGCGACGCCCTCGGGGCTACGCCCCTTGGGCGTCGCGACCTCGGGCAAGATCACTCACAGACCTCGGGCCTGATCAGAGCGTCATGCCCTCGCAACTGTGTAGGATTATGTATACCATAGCAATTTCCGCTGCGCATTGCGCTGGTCGTACAAAAGTGGAAAAAATGCACGCGATTCCCCCCCCCCCCCCAGTCCGTGCGCCAAGGGGTACTCAAGGGCTGATTTTATTTGCAACCGCGGGAAACGAAGTCACCAAGACGCCTTCATTTGAGGCTTTTGGAATTGGAGAATTTATTGAATTTAGGTATGGCTCTCGTCCCTTCTAGAGAACTAACCAAGACCCTGTGGGGGCAAAAGGAGACTTCTTTGGCTCCGTGAATACACTAGCTATGCGGTGGTCTAGTTAGTTTGAGTGTGTGGTTCGTATTCAAAGTGTTCCAAGCCGCAGTTCACTCGAAGGTCATCGTGGATACTGTCGTAATATCTGGACTCTATTATGCGTACACTACTGTACACTTATGACTGTATGCGTTGCATGCTGTATGTACGTCACACAGGCCGTTTCCCGTAGGCCAGAACTTTGATGTGCTTCACTGGCTCGGGACTTCTCTTGTTTTTGACTTACCTACTGGTTGTGCATTTCTTGCTCCTCATTAGTTTACTCGTCCATGTCTCCTTGTCCCTATTGAGAATAATACTACATGGTGTCAGAATTGGGCTGCTGATAACGATGGCTGGATTTTCTATTCCATCCATGAGATGGCAGTCAGACAACCTCCCGGAGGAATTCGCCTCGTTTAGGCAGTATTGTGAATTGATTTTCGGAGGTCCGTACTCAGCGAAGTCAGCGAAAGAGCAATGCTCATATATCCTCCTTTGGATAGGCCGACCTGGTGTGGACATCTACAATTCGTGGACATTTGCAGACGAAGCTGACCGCTTCAAAGTGGACGAATTACTTTCCCGTTTTCAGGCCCACCTGCAGCCGAAAGTAAACGCGTGGCTGGCCCGTTTCCAGCTTCAACAGCAACGGCAAAATGTGGGGGAAACCACTGACGATTTTCTCTGTCGCTGTCGGAACTTGGCAGTGAAGTGCAAATTTGCCGATGCCGGTGAAGTCAACACCCGTTTGCTAGAGCAGCTGATTGTCGGCACCCGACATAAAACGGTACAGGAGAAGCTGTTGGAGAAGGGCGACCAGTTGTCGTCTCTTGACGAAGGGCTGGAAGTTGCGAGGACACATGAAGCTACAGCTACCCAGATGGCTCAGCTAACCGGGTCTCGCTCCGCCAGTGTTAGCCCTGCTGACGTATCCTTTGTTAAAAAGTCTGCTCCGAAGAGATCCAAGGATTTCAAGAAAAAACAACAAAAAAAGAGTTGTCAATTCTGTGGGAAGGAAGACCATGATCGTGCAGTATGCCCAGCTCGATCAGCTGAGTGTAATTTCTGTAAGAAACAAGGGCACTTTGCTACCGTGTGCCAGAAGAAGCAACGATCCTGTGACGCTGTACATACTGTACCGCCAGATGCGCATGCCCCTGGCATGTTTCTCGGCAGCGTCGATGCCGGACGTGACCCTTGGTCTGTGTCGGTGGAAGTCAACAATTCCCCAGTCATGATGAAGATCGACACCGGAGCCGATGTCTCTGTAATTCCAGCAAGTGTATTCCGCCTGTTAGATGCGCAGGCCCTGCGACCCAGTCGTCGTACCCTGATGTCTGCTAACTCAAGCGTCCTCGACGTAGCTGGCGTGTTCGACGCAGTGGTAACACATGCGGGCAAGTCGTCTCGCCAAGAGATTTTCGTTGCCAACAACCTCAAGCAGGCCCTCCTAGGACGCCCTGCAATAGTCGCCTTGGACCTCCTGGACGTCAAGGCTGACATCTCTGAAGTATCGAGCGGTATTCGCGACACCGCGACAGCACGAGCTGCATACCCCGATTTGTTCAAACCTCTCGGCAGGTTCACTGGAGAGCCTCACTGCATTCGCCTCGAAGAAGGCGCCAAACCATTTGCTCTGTCCTGCCCGCGCGACAATGTGGCAATACCGCTAATGCCGATTGTTAAAGCGGAGCTTGAGAAGATGGAAAAGCAAGGCGTCATCGTCCCTGTCGACGAACCAACTGATTGGTGTGCTGGCCTTGTTGTTGTCGCCAAACCTGGAGGGGAGGCAGTCCGTCTGTGCGTTGACTACACACGTCTCAACCAACACGTTCGTCGTGAGCAGTTCGTCTTGCCGGCGGTAGACCACACGCTGGGTCAGTTGGGCGGTGCCAAGTATTTCACAAAGCTTGACGCCAACTCTGGGTTTTACCAAGTGCCCTTGGCCAAGGAATCCCAGAAGTTGACCACATTTATCACCCCGTTTGGGCGTTTCATGTTCACGCGTCTACCATTCGGTATTTGTTCGGCTCCCGAACATTTTCA